ATTAACTTTATGAGAGGCCCCAGAAGCAAGTAGTTATAATATAGCTAGAGTGAGAACGAATTAAAAATACGTCAATTTTGATTAAAATACATCATTTTTTAAGGAATAGTGTGAGTAGCAACATAATTTTTAATTAAATATTGCTTAATTATTATAATTTAAAGATAACCAATTACATTTCACTTTTAAAAAAATTATCCAATGATATTGTTTCAAAATATCATAAGCAATCAAGGCGTTGCAAATACAAGATGCAAGTTTAGAAAATTATTAAACAATACAGGTATTTGTACCTTAAAATGTATGCGTACCTTAAAATGCTAGTAAATGAATTTTGGTATATTTTATATTTTCAAATCAATTGGAATAAGGTTTATATTCTACAAGGAAGTAACCAAGACATAAAAGAGTATAATCTAAAATAGTAATTCTATGTCAAATATATTCTGAAAACTGGTAGTATTCTGTATTTGTTTTTAAAATTGGAACACATACTTTCACTTAAAACATAAAATTTACAAAAGAAAAAAAGAATTAAGTTAAAAAAACTATATATGGAAATGATCAGTAGTAGAAGGACATCAGTTGCAACTAAACTATGGAAATGATCAGTAGTAGAAGGACATCAGTTGCAACTAAACTATGGAAATGATCAGTAGTAGAAGAATGATCAGTAGTAGAAGATCAGTTGCAACCTAAATTTAAGATTTTAATTTTATTGCTGTTCTAATTATGATTACTTAATATTTTCAAGTATTTTTTTCGCAATAATCATGAGAACCTGTTCCAACACCGTGAGAGGATAAAACTATTAGAACTTTTTTTTTACATAAATCCAAAACGATCAATTGTCATCATGCAAGAGAACAGATTTGATTTACATTGTGATTTGATTTACATTGTGATTTACATTGATTTACATTAGTGATAATAATGGTGTAAACTATGATTTACTTGATCCAACATTTGAGTTACACCTGTTGTGTCTCTTAGTACCATCACAGGTCTCTCGAAATATTTTTCTGTTAACTTGCTATCAAAGAATTTATAAAAGTTGAATAGAGAATTGTGATCTTGTACTCTATGTTCTGTAGTTAATATTAGCTAATTTAGAATCTTTTCCACTGTCGGTTTTGATGTCATTTTACAGGTTATTCCTTTTCATAATAACAACACATAGAAAATAACTACATCCCCAGCTCAAGACACAAGTGGGTGAATAGTAATAAAATCTCTGTTCTCGAGGATAACTTGATAGCAACTGTCACCCTTTCCAGCAAACACCAACCCACTTTCACTCTTATCAATTCCAAAGTTTACTAACGGTGGAGTTTCATCATGATTAAACATGCATTTAGTATCTTTTATACCGTACTACACTCTTTCTGAGGTTTTTTCATTTTTCTTCATTATACTTTTAATTTTAAGTTCCTCTAGTTTATTTAAATAACCCATTGCACTAGTGCTTTTTAAAGTACGGTTCATAGGAACTCTCCCTCTTTTGAGTTAGACTGGGGTGATTTGCTATAAATCTTGACCAGAAAGAACGTCTAAAATGAAATTTATAGTTCAAGGATTGAAATAACAACCACCATGTTTAACCATTTTGTAGCTCGGCAGTTTTATTTTTATAATAATTTACTAATTAGCGTTTCCTAAATTTTTTTTGTTCAGTTTTATTTTGTCTTTTATTTTGTAAAAAGCAGCTTCTTTATACAACTTATTTTATTTTGAGTCTTAACCTGAGATTGACCTTTGGTCTCTCAGGTTAAGACCCAAAAGATAAATAAGATTAAAAATCTATTTCAACAAAAATAAAAAAAGTTCAAATAATAAAATAAAAGTTCCATAAAATAAAACCTACATTTTAAAATTCACATGTTAAAATTGGCTTTATTTTGCGGAGCTAATGTTGGTTCGTTAAAGAGTGTAAGTGCAACAACTCCCCAAGAGAATTTAAAAGACTATTAGGTATGTTCAAATTCTGAAGACGAGCTTTTAACAATTGTAAAAAAAAATTTATGGCTATTCAAAAAATCATCTACATTTTAAGGTATAAGAACCTTTAAAAGTTACTTTGTCGTTATTTTTTTATGTGTGCTTTTTAAACTACTTATAATAAATTTCTAGATTAGATTTGAATTAATAAATGTCTAATAAAAACTGGTAGTACTTTTGCCGGATTTGCAAAAAAATTTTATAAAAATCTATATTTAAAAAATTCTGGAGAGGTTGACTAAGTTTCTTGCCGAAAAACGTTCTTTAAAAACGTAACAAACCTATAGCTAAAAGCAAAAGATGAGGTTCAAACAAATAGTAGAGATTGTCTAAAACTTTGATATTTTTACTCAGTATAAAGGTATTCAAAAAATCGATTACTTTACGTAGATCGAGATTTTTGTTTTGATTATTTCATGATAGTTCAAACGTTTGTTAAAAACTTATTCAGTTAACTTTTAAGAGAGTTCACTCCAATTACAACTTTCAAAAGTTATATTTTCAATACCGCAAAACGGGGTAAATAAGGACAATTAGGTATAATTAGGGACAGAAACCAGAAATGTTGTTTGGATGTCTACAAATTGACAGGGAAAACTGATAGACTAATTAATTCTTTTTTTCCTATCAAGTATAATTTAGATACTCTTTTAATTAAAAGAAAGTCTTCTCTAAATTTGAAATTAAAAAAAATTTAAATATTGCGTCACAAAATCGCTTACCCCTTCCCCCTCTTCTAAAACGTGACGCAATTTACGGACGACCTCATAGCCAAAGAAAGTTATGTTCAATTGTGTATTTATTGTACATTTATTTATTTTTATTTTGTCCTTTGAAATAAACTTTACAATCTTTTACAACATAACAATATAAAGTTTTAAAAAATTCCGAATGGAGCTGGCAAAAGACATGGTCTTATCATCCAGCCACGTTGTTACAAATTTAGATATAATCTTGTATATAGTAAAACGTAAAAAGTAGTATGTTAAGATTAATGTCTTCTTAATATTTATTAAGAAGACATTAAGTACTCCAAGTTCTTTTAGTAGAGGTTTGGCACTGGTGTACCTGTTTGCGTTTAATATTAAGTAACATGCATGTTTTTGTTTTTTGTAAATTGCATTTAACTTTGTTGGATATGTACTCGCCCAGATTATGTTACAGTATTTGATGCAGCTATGAATAAAAGAGAAATAAATATTTTTTAAACAAGTTGTATTAAGAAGATGTTTGATTTATACGTAATTCCGATAATTTTAGATATTTTCTTTTCCACTTTTTTAAAAAGTTGGTTGAGTATTCTTTTTTAAGTTTAGTTTTGTTGATAAGCAGTTCAGGAGTTTTAAGGGGAGGGTGTCTGAACCAGAAGATTTTTGTAAAAGAATATATTTGCTTTTTTTCTACGTTTAGCGAGATTTAGTTTGCCTTAAACCATTCGTTTAGATTTTCTAGCTCTTGATTAACCGTATTAAACATAAAGTTAATGTTTTTGTGGCTAAAAGATACTTGGTATCGTCATCAAAGAGAACAAAGTTGAGTATATATTGGAAGATGAGAAGATATCATTAATATAAACAAGGAATAGCAATGGCCCTAGAATTGATCCTTGCGGGACCCCACTGGTAATACTTTTAGTTTGTGTTACAGTATTGTTATACGATAATGCTTGTTTTTGATTATGAAGATAAGAGCGAAACCATTTTATATTGTTATTTTTTATTTTATAATTATCTAGTTTATACAGAAGAACCTCATGGTTAACAGTGTCAAATGCTTTTTAAAGATCAAGGAATACCCCTAGAGAGTATTTGTTTTTATCGAATCCATTTAAAATTTCATTTACAAGTTTGACTACAGCGTGTTCTGTTGAGTGTCATTTTTGAAATCCATATTGATTATTATTTAAGATGTGATGATTAATTAGAAAGTTATAGAATTTATTGTGCATTAAGCGCTCTAATATTTTTAAAAAACAGGGTAAAATAGAAATGGGTCTATAGTTAGAAGCCATAGAATCGTCCTTACTTTTAAATACAGGAACAATTTTAGCCATCTTAAGCTCTTCAGAAAATATCCCTTGATTTAAAGACATGTTGTAAATATGCAGAAGGGGATGTTCAATAATGTCGTAGACACTTTTTACGACATTCGCGCTGATGTCGTCAAGCCCTGGGCTTTTGTTTGATTGTACGGAGTTAAAGTCGTTTTGAAGATCATTGCGAGTTATATTATGCTCTTCTATTACGAATTTTTTTTTTCTAAATATGATTTAAAACTTGTTTTTCCAGGAGTTACGTTGTCAGCTAGTATTTTCCCAATTTTTGTTAAGAAGCTGTTAAATTTCTCAGCATTGTCTATAGGTTTGGAGGCTGAATTATCACTTTCATGTGTTCTTAAGTATTTTGGGAACATTTTAGTTGTATCTTTTTTTATTCCTGTAACCTCTTTTATTATGCTCCATGTTTTTTGAGTGTTACCGATATTATTTTCCAATAAATTGCAATAATAATTATTTTTTGATTTTTTTTAAAAAGTTTCAAATAAATTTTTATATTATTTATATGTTTTTATAAATTTTTAGTATGATCTACATACTGGTTGATGTTGTATGTTACTAGTGCACTTAAAGTGAACACACTCATTTTTTCAAAACTTCAAAATTTTTCCTTTTTTACCCCTATCAGAGGTAAAATAGAGATAAACATCTGAAACAATTGGTGTCTCTATTCACCTGACAAACGGGGTCAAAAGGAACAGACAGAAAAAACAACATTATGTTCAATTAGCCATTATTTTTATTAATCAAAAATGCATAATTCCATAGAAGTAGTATATGGCCATACTTAGCACAAAAATAGAAATTAAAAAAAAAAAAAAACTATACTCAGTCAGTGATAGAACAAGGTACCTTTAGAACGGTCCCTATTTACCTCGTTTCACGGTATCCTCAACTGTTCCGGAAAAGTTTTGAAACGGACGATTACTCGGAAAGTTTCCTTCGTGACAGTTCTAGAGACCGCATGATGTTATTTTGACTTGCTCTTCTCTTTTTCATAGTCTTAATTTATGAAATAAGAAAAAAAATAATAATAAAAAAAATAATAAAAACTATATTAAAAAAAACAACAACACATTTTTAGATTATTTTCAAATGGCTGGGCGTGGTAGAGGTAGAGGAGCTCAATCACTATCATTCAATCTTCCTGGCTTAGGTTCTGGAGATTCCATGCCCTCAGTGACACTTCAACCCCCTCCTCTTTATCCAGTATGTAGTTTTTTTGTTTTTTTTTACGGTTTTTGGTTTTAAAATTATTAAACATTATATTTAATGTTATATTTATTAAGGTATATCAAAATGATATTTCTAGCATTTTATAATTTTTGTATTTATTTATCATTCAAAGTAATTAAAGTTTTAATATTTATTAAGTAGTTTGTAATATATTATATACAAGTATAAATGTTTTTCCAAGAATGATTGTTTATTATCATATTATCAGATGACTTCGATTCGATTTCTACATATTCGAATAAAATGATCTCAGGGATAAACAAAAAAAAAAAAAAAAAGTCAAACCGAGAAAAAAAAAAAAAGGCTTTAAGTAATTTCTTTGATTTATAACTGGTTTTATGACAGAATTGTATTCAATATTTTTTCAGCGTTTTCTAATTACATAATTTAGTAAACAGTTTTTTTTTTTTAAATGACACTAGATTAAAACTTTAAATTTATATTTTTTTAATTTTTGTAGGTACTCCTTGGTTTTAGCTTTTTCATTTGAGAATTTTTTTACAGCCTGGAGAAAATGATCATTTTCACTGTGTATTTGATATTAAATGTCCTTCACTTGAGAGAAAAAAAAAAACCTTAAAAAGAAAAACTTAAAATTAATCATTTAAATGCCAAGTCCAGAAGGGTCATTCCATGCCTAATGGACAAAAATTTTAGGATTTCAACATGGACCACCTCAGATTTTGATGAAACTTGTTGGGTTGGTTAATATCAATAAACAAAGCAACTACTAAAAATTTTAGCAGAAAATCTTTTGTAGCTTATGAGATATGGTCATTTAAAATTTCTGAGTTTTCCAAAAATGAAAACTTAAGTAGCTTAAGTAAAACATGCTTTGCTTATTTTTTGAAGTTCTTTATTTTGAAAAAAAAATTTCAGAAAACCTTCTAGTCTTTTTTCTATTTTATACAACTCTAGACTTACTTAAGTAAAAATTTGACATTGAATTTTTGAATATGACATTTTATCCATAATAACTACCTAAAAAACCTAAAAAATTGTTTGCAAGTGTAAAAAGTTAGTTTTATAAACCAATTTTCATCATGAATACATGCTATATTAATTTTTGGTGAAAGAAAAGCTTATGCTGCATTGCAGAAAAATTTACATGTGTATTGGTAAATGACACTTGTCTTATCTGTAAAGTAATTAATGATTGTGGTATAAAACAATTGTGGTTTCTTGTTCCTGGATTTGTTGAACAAGTAGTATAGCGCTCTTTTTATTTAAACTTAATACAATGTAATATAGTTGTATCATTTAAAATGTATTGAAAATGTATTCCTTTGATATTTTGTCTACAATTGATTGGATCTGTTAGTGATTGTAAACTGGCCCATGCTAATAGACTTTTGAAAGCCCTTAATGCCATTGCAATCACTCTTTCCATGTGATTTAGCAACAAAAAAATGCCATTTTGCAGATACCTCATGATCTTGTTCATGTTGATTATTATGAATACAATTATGAACAAGCTGGAAATAAGTTATTTTCAGCAAAAACTGTTATGTTAAGTCTAGTAATACTAAAATATGATTACTTGATAATGTTATTTTTAGACGTTGCAAATATGCTGCTTGATTTTTGACTATATTGATATGGTCTTTTAATTGGTCTATTTGTTGACAAGCTTTTTGTCAAGGGGTTGTTGACAAGCTTTTTGTCAAGGTAGTCTGAAATATATGGTATTTTTAATGCTAAAAGTTTTGCGTTCTGGTGGTACTTGCAGACACATACTGAATGGAGACCTGATTCACATCAAATAGGAATATACCACTTTGGTTTAAGTTCACAAAACCCAACCTTGATGTTAAATGAATTTTTAATGAACTCTAAATAAAAATCTTTTATATTAACTAATAAAATTCTTTTTTGAAAATGTTATCTTTTACCACCAACTTGGATTGAGACAATGTTTCATATCTGGACACATTTGAGAGTATTCACTCTGACAGGTTCTAAAAAGTAACAAAACAATAAAACATTAAATAAGCAATTATCTTTTAAAAAATCAATTAGGTCAATTTATTTTTAAATACTTTTTAATTTAACTTTGTGTTTGTAAAATGGATTACAACAAAAGTTTCAGACATAAAAAGTCTCAAATCTATATAAAATAATTATATAAAAAGAACACTCAGCAGCTTGCTTGTTTTTAATGTCACAACTTTTAAATGTTTGTATAAAAAGCAGGGATTATCTTTTTCCGAATATATTTGAAATTTCAGATATTGTTTTCAACTTTAAATTTTTCTGGATACCCAAAACATTTTCCATACATGCAAGTTTAGGTATATATTTTTGTGATATATTTGTTTTTTAAGCTTTTTCACTTATCACTCAAAAAAATTATGAAAAGTTTGAAAAAAAAAAAGTTAGAAACAACTCAGCTAAAAGCAAAGTTAAAAAGGAAAATAAGAGAAAACAATTCCGGATTTTTTCTGGATATTTTATCCAAACAATTTTCCAGATTTTTAAAATATGACTTGGATGATCTATAATACTTCATGTATCAGACATAAAACCAGGCACACCATGTAATGAGAAGTGTAATAACAGGATGAAAAAAATGTATTGATGGAGCTTTTTAAATGTTGTATAAAAAGCAGGGATTATCTTTTTTCGAATATATTTGAAATTTCAGATATTGTTTTCAACTTTAAATTTTTCCGGATACCCAAAACATTTTCCATACATGCAAGTTTAGGTATATATTTTTGTGATATATTTGTTTTTTAAGCTTTTTCACTCATTACTCAAAAAAATTATGAAAAGTTTGAAAAAAAAAAGTTAGAAACAACTCAGCTAAAAGGATGATCTATAATACTTCATGTATCAGACATAAAACCAGGCACCAGGCAAAAAAAGTATAGTAGAAAAAAATTTATTTAGCTAACTGTTCCTTTATATTAAAAAAATTATTTCACAATTGCAGTGAAAATATTTTTTATTACTGCCTAATGTTTTCCACAACATAGTTTAAAACAATGTTTTTCAAAACATTGTTTAAACTCTAATTGATAAAAGTTTTGGCATAACATAAATGGTTTAACGCATAGGTAAAATTGCCATTTCGTATGTAAAGTTGTAATGAACTAATAAAAAGATTGACCTCTTGATTAAGGCTTTATTTAACAATAATTGTACTAATCTAAAGATACAAGAAAATAGACACATATATAAAACAAATAGTTCAATAACAAAAAATAGAAAACACAACAATCTTCCCATCTATGTAGAAAAAGGCCCATAAACTAGTTTAGTCATTTTAAAATATAGTCATCATATTTTACAGGAGCTTTACAAGCTCTGGCAGAACGTCGTAATACATCAGCAAACGGCTCAGTTACTGGCTCATCTACCCTAACTCTGATTTCCGATGCAATTTCAGGTGAGGGGTCTTTATTTACATCAAGTACTTTCGCAGTTACATTCTCACTAGACTCATTGATACTATTCTCATTGATATCATTAAACTTTTCTTTTGGGGCAGGATACGGTGCAAGATCTTGAAGTGAAACAGTTGACTCTCGTCCATCAGGGTAACGAATATTAGCATATGTTGGATTTACATCCACTAATTCAACCTTATCCACGAGATTATCGTTCTTGTTTGTACGCACAAAACGTCTTAGAAAAATTGGGCCAGGAGTTAACCATGAGGGTAACAAAGTTCAGGATGACGAGCGCCTAGGAAAACTGAATAACCTCTCCTGGGGTGTACAATTAGTTGCAGTTGAAAGTAGCGAACGGAGTGAGTGGAGAGCGTCTGATAGAACAATTTCCCAATTTCTAACATCTAGGTTGTGGGTTTTTAGTGCCAAACAAATATTTTTCCAGATCAAGCCATTATATCTCTCAACTTGTCCATTACTGATAGGATGATATGGGGTAGAATTACTAGTTGCAATTCCTTTCTGAGTAAGGTAAGATTTTAGTTCATTAGATATGAAAGATGAGCCTCTGTCGGAATGAATGTACGTTGGAAAACCACAAAAGGAGAATATTTGATCTAAACACTTCACAACAGTTGTTGAACTAATATCAGGACATGGGAAAGCAAATGGATACCGAGAATATTCATCAATGACTGTAAACAGATATTTATTTCTAGAATTAGATGGTAATGGTCCTTTAAAATCTATACTTAGGCGATCCATTGGACGTATTGACTTGATTAACTCACAGACATTTGAGGATCGATAAAACTTTGGTTTTAATTCTGAACAAATCTGGCAGTTAGAACAAACTCTCTTGACCTCTTCTGTAGAAAAAGGTAAATTTTTAGATTTAACAAAGTGAAGCATACGAGTAACCCCTGGGTGACATAGACAGCTATGTATACCACTTAGGTTTGTTTGAGATTGGGTTGTAGCACAAAAAGCACGTGTGAGTGCATCAGGGACGATATTATCGCTTTCAGGACGATACGATATAGTATAACTAAACTCTGCTAACTCCATCCTCCAGCACTGAATCTTACTATTTTTAATCTTTGTTTTCTTTCGATTATCAAACATAAAAGCTACAGAATGCTGATCAGTAATTAATTTAAATTGATTCCGTAACAGTAAATGTCGCCATTTTCGAACGGCTTCAATAATAGCCACAGCTTCTTTTTCTACTGATGGGTAATTGATTTCACTTTTGCCTAATGTTCGAGATATAAAGGCAACGGGACGACCATTTTGATTCAAAGTAGCTGATACAGCTACATCTGATGCATCACATTCAACAACAAAAGGTAAGCTCTCATCAATAAAACTCAAAGTGGCAGCATGAAGTTCTCTTTTAAGAAATTGAAATGCTTCAAGTGCCTCACTATTGATAGGAAAGGATTTAACATTAATTAAAGGCCGAACTTTATTAGCAAACGAAGGTATCCACTTTGAATAGTAAGAAAACATACCCAAAGTTTGCCGAAGTGATAAAATGTTAGAAGGAGGAGGTAGTAAGTCTAAAGGACGTAATCGCTCAGAATCTGGTTTTATGTTGTTATGACTAACGCAATAACCAAGAATGTTTATAGAAGAAGCTGAAATAACCGATTTTGATTCATTTAAAGTTAGACCCCAACGTTGTGAAGCGTCTTGAAACCGCAGACAATTTTTATCATAATGTGCCTGATCATAACCACCAATGGTTATGTTGTCAAGATATGGAAAAGTGTCATGTAACTTTTCTTCTTCAACAAACTTGTCCATAGACCTTTGGAACATAGACACACCATTAGTAACTCCAAATGGAATCCTGCAAAATTGAAATAGTTTTCCATTTGCCTCAAATGCTGTATACTTTTTGTCTGAAGTTTTAATAGGGATTTGGTGGTAAGCACTTTTCAAGTCAAATGCAGAGAATACTTTGTACTTTGCAAGTCCATTTATCATATCATCTATTCTGGGAAGAGGATATGCATCTAACTCAGTGTAAAGGTTAACTGTCTGAGAGTAATCAATACAAAGTCTTTTTTTGTTAGATTTTGTAAGATCCTTTATGACCTCTACCTGGGCTCTCCATGGTGAGAAACATGGCTCAATTATACCATCTGATAATAACTGTAGTATTTCACTTTCAATAAAGCTTCGATCATCATTATTATATCTTCTTGATTTTGTAGCTATTGGCTGAGTTTTGTCTGAAATGCTTGTAAACAAGGATGGTATTTTTATTTTTGCCATTTGCAGTGCACATAGGTTACTTTCCTTTGTGACAATTAAGTCTTCTTTTTCTCCACCGAGTGGGAATATTAAATTTTTGTGTAGTTTTTGGAAGTCGTAACCAAGTATGATATCACTACAAAGATTTTCTAAGACACCAAATTGAACATTATTATAAAATAAACCATTTACTTCAAGATTAACCGAACAACAGCCCACTAATCCAGACTCCATTAGTGTGAGGGCCATCAAAATTTTCTTTTTACTGGGTAACGTTTTAATTTTTAAAGTCTCGATAATTTTCTTGCTTATAAAATTATCTGAGCTACAGGAATCGATCAGTGCAGTTAACGGTTCATCATTAATTCTGACAATAACAGCTGCATGAGAGAGAATCAACGGACAACCACTTGAAACAGTACACAAACTTGGTTTATGTATTGCAGCTGAAACACTGTGGGTTATATTCATCGGTCTGCCAAGACAAACTTTGGAAAAATGACCTTTTTTTCCACATTTAAAACAGGTTACATTTTGAGCTGGACAATTTTTCCTAGCAGAGGTTTGATTACGTTGGTTGTGAGATTGATTATCACAATAAATGCATTTTGTTTGAGGATTAATAGTCATAGCAGTGAGTGCTGCTGAGGGTTCTTCTGGTAATTTTATAGCGGCAGCAATATTTAAATTGGAGGAAAAGGAGGATGTTTTCTGCATATAAGAATCTGAGTTTCTTTGTGCAATGTCAAGAGAACGAGCTTGGTTAAATGCTGATTGCAAATTCAATGTTGAATTTTCAAGAAGTCGTTGACGAATGTAATTCGAATTTATTCCAGAAATAAAAGCATCTCTTATTTGTTCCTCTCGATATTGTTCAGCTGAAACATCCTTGTAATTACAGTTTTTACTGAGTTTACGTAGTTCCTGAAGAAAGTCTTCTAAGGATTCACTCGATGTTTGATGCCTTGCAAGTAATTGATGCCTTGCAAAAATTTCATTAGGGGTTTTTATATATAAGTTTTCTAGGGTTTCAATTACACTTTCATAGGAATCACACTCTTCAATGTAATCATAAACATTTGATGAAACAAAATTAATGATAGAGCGAAATTTGTCTGGAGCATCCTCTCCACAATCTTCAATGAAATTTTCAAATGTTCGTTTCCAATGCTTCCATTCTTTTGAAGCAGTTGGTGCATTATGATCAAGATCAAGCCTCGTCGGTTTTAAGATCTTTGACATTTCCCAATAATTTTATATGTTTGTTAAATAAATTGTAATGAACTAATAAAAAGAATGACCTCTTGATTAAGGCTTTATTTAACAATAATTGTACTAATCTAAAGATACAAGAAAATAGACACATATATAAAACAAATAGTTCAATAACAAAAAATAGAAAACACAACAGTGGTGTAGTGGTTAAACACTCGCTTCATAAGCGAAAGGTTCCGAATTCGATCCCCACCACGTCCCTGGTAGTACCGCGCTCAACTTGTTTCTCCGCGCAGCGGCCTTGTTCGTCAAGGTTCGTGTTTCGGAGTTATAGAGTTGAGAGAGGGTTATAACCACTATTAAGTAGCCTCCTCGTCTGTAGTGGCCTTCTCTGCCTTGAGGAGGTGAATAATAAAAAAAAAAAAAGAAAAAAAATGTAAACAGCATAAATAATTTTAACAAGGCCTGTAATATGTTATTTATGATATTATAACAATGGTTTAAAATTATTTGATAACAATTTACTCCATAATTTATATTTTAACCTTATAGCTTGTTTGACTTCTTTATCAATCCATGGTTTATACAAGATTCTTTTATTTCTTTTTTAGGTATATATTTTATATATGCTTCATTGTATATGTTAGTAAATGTTTAATAACATTCATGTATGTCATTGTTAATGAATATTGCAGGCCAAATAATTTTCTCAAAAATTTGTTAATTCTGATGAGTCAGGAAGGTAATAGATGCATCCAACTAAAACTTGATCATATTTTGTCTTTATAACAAACCAAATTTACAATATTATCAACCAATTCAGCTATTTTAAGAGTAAATAGTAGTTTATTATCATTTAATTATTTTTTATGAAACTCTCAAAGATTAAATTTCTTTATGGTTTTTATTTTTTTATGGATTTTTTCTTTAGAATATTCTTTTTACATGTTTTATGATTTTTCTAATGTCGTATTTTTAGCAATAAAAAGCATCTAGAAGCAAAATGTATTTAATAAATTAACATAATATATAACTTTAGTCCTAGAAACTCTTATTTTCTATTTATTTTAGATATTGCACCATAGGGTGACACCACTAAGTTCTACTGAAGTTGATGAATATATGTTAGCTCTCAGCCGGGAATTTAGAACAAGCATAAGAGACTCACCTTTTTTTTTAAAAGAAAAAGTTTGCAAAAAAGGTTTGAGGATGAAAAAAAATTTAACAAAAAGTTTATTAACCTGCTTTCCTTAGATTGCTAAAACTAAAGGTTTTGTTCCAAGGGCTATATATATATATATATATATATATATATATATATATATATATATATATATATATATATATATATATATATATATATATATATATATATATATATATATATATATATATATATATATATATATATATATGTGTATATATATATATATATATATATATATATATATATATATATATATAAAATGCATTTAATATGTTTTCAAACTAATTATTCTTAATTATTTTAGTTAAATATCTAATTACGAAAAGAAAAATAGTTTCAAAAATGGCTTGATTTTAGATATTGTGCGGTACACAGATAGATATAAACAAACAACAAATATTGATGCTAAAGTACAATGGGAACCAGGTTTTTTTTTATCAAATAATGATTTTATATATTTTTTATTAAGTTGGTTTTGCATATTACCTTTTCATTCATCTTTTTAACTTTTTTAATTTGTTAGAGTTAGGATCAATATTTAAATGTTCAGTTAATCAATCTTTAAATTAAATTTATTTTTTTAAGGTTTAAGTTCTTAGTAGATTATTTTGTTGATAAACTCACTTAAGGTGGGCGGGAAAATTTTCCAAAAATTAAACAACGCCTCCCCCTCCCCCTTTTATTAGGGACTCGAGAGTAATATAGTTTATAAAGAAATTCTTTAATAAAATTTTTAAATTAGAATCAAACAATCAATTAAAAGTAATAATTTTTTAATTTTTTGAACTTTTTCCAGTCTTTTAAATTATTTTTTTTTTTAAATAACGAAAGTTTACATTTTATGGTAAAAATTGATTTAATGGTAATAAAATCAATTTTAAAATATGGTAATAAAAGATTCAACTCTTGTAAGCTTTTTGGCGGTTGTTCTTAAAGACAATGTAACTTTAAGTAAGAAGTTTTCACATTTTGCAAATGCAGTAAATTTTTCAAAAGCATCTTTTAATGCGGGCTGGAGAAAATTGTTGAAACGTATTGCTTGTAATCATTGAAAAATTTCTTTAGTAAAGCTCCTAAACCTGAGTGAACACCAAGATTTATGCTAGCTCTGTCTAAGTTTAACGCTAATAGTTTTTTAGTTGTGTCATTTATTCCAACTCTTGCAAATGCTTGTTCAAGACAGATTTGTTAGCACAAACATTACTGCTGTCAGAGCTTTTAACTGACAACAGTTTAACGCATGTACTGCCTTCAAGTAAATACAATACATACACTAGTTCTTGTTCTAATGTAGCAA